AATCGAGCAAAATCCAGTTGAAGTTTGAAGGATGGAGAAGGAGGTTCAGGCCAAAGAAGAGAGCCACTGTCAAACTTAACAAGAAAGTTCCAGAACTAAATAGTTTTCGCGGAGGAGTAATAGAAGGCCTTTAAAGAGATATTCCAGAACTTATTCTCTTCCAGAAAATTACAGTATCTGACATACCGGCTACGGTAGCTCTGGACCTTCTGAGCACATTGTTCAGGATATCTGCATAAACAGAAACAAGTGGATTGCGTCCTCACTGGGAGGTGCCGCCTTTTTACCTGGTGCTCGCCTTAGAAATGCCCCTCCCGAGACAATTACCAATCATCGTCAAACATCAGGCACCCTGGCCCACAAAATCATCGCGAGCGAAGACACTCAATGCACTTAGTACTTTATCCGTACTTTCAGAATGTGGGTCAGTACCGCAATTCCAAAGGGCAAAACGGTTATCGGATACAATGCAAGAAAGGAAACCAGGTCTCACTTTTCTCCCACATGGAAAGCGGGTAGTATCTTCAAGGACACCTCGAAAAAGTGGGTCCAAAATTCACTTAAACGAATTGCACAGCAGAACACGATGTCTCGGCTTTGCCTCCGCAGTTTCCATACCAGGAAGTAGACGCCCCATACGGATAGCCGGTTGATCGTAATGGAACTGACAAGTTGGACTGCTAGAACCGCCACACCCAAGGCCGCTCAGGGACTAAAAGTTCTCAAGCGGATGTTTTGAAAGGGGAACATTATATGCTACAGTACTGGAAGCAGCTGACGTCAATTTACTGAGTTTTGAAAAATTTCACGGCAAACGAGGCACACTAACGACCTGCAGCTGTTGATATATAGCCTCGGTTGGTGACGAAAAGATGTGCTCTCCGATAAGCCACTGCGACAGCGGCGATGGACGGAAATCGAGCTATTTAATTCGCAAGGGGGTGGTCAGCACAGAGCAATCTTTCAATCTGAACAAGTAGGTTCAATGGGAGCTCTCCAATAAACCCCGAAAGTTCAGTTTCTTGGATCAGCAAGAAATCCCCAAAAATTTCCAAAATAGTGGTTTTCAGGAACACCAACTAGAACGGATATTGAGCAGTACGGCTTAGTACCGAGGGCTACAATCACCGTAAGGGTACCTTCTTGGGTCGAAACTTACCCCTGATGCCTACCGTTTTACCGACTTTCGGTACTGAAAGACTCATAGGGAATGTAGCACCACACGGGTACCACTGAAATCAAGACGGACCAACATGTAGTGTACTCAAAGCTTTCAAACAAGTCCACGATTCCACAGGATAGACCAGTGCATGGAGCCTTCCCGATGGTCCGTCCTTTTCATCCTAGACGATATTTGAAGAAAAATTTCGTCCTAAATAGGGCCCTGTGCTTGTGTTACACACGACGCAATTTCAAAAATCATATTTTTGCACGAGAATTGACCTTAAGTGCTGTTTGGAAGGATTAAACAACTCCAATGTTTAGATTATTAAAAAATAAACAAATACTCGAATTGCAGAAACCAAGCCGAGAGTTTTAGCGAGAAACCATCCCAGACCTACAAAAAGACCCTCGTAAAAGATTTAAAACTATTTCACTAACTAAAGGCATATGGCACGGAGGGGGGCCGCCAGCTGAACAACAGCAAGTGAAATGACTGCCAGTTCAACTGGCCACCCCAATCAATTACTGTTCAATTCAGAGATCGATGAGAGAGCAAAAACACTTAGCCTTGAAATACAACACTACACAAATTCTACCTGGGAAATTGGAGAATTCCCACACCGGTAAACAAGTAAAAGCTCAGGTAACTTACCTGTTGGTAGCCATTTTTCCACAGCAACCGGCTGAGGTTTCTCCTCGACGGGGAGTGATCTCGGAGAATATGGCCGATAGTGCCAATGAAAAGCACCACATCCATTGCTCGTTAGCCGACTGCATCGGCCGACAAGCACAGAAGGAACTGATTACGTAGAGACCACGGAACATCTATCCACAACACGTCATCTCTACATAAAACCCCCTCTACCGGTAGGTAGTCAAGTGTATTCGAATGGAAAATCATTGACCAAACAGCACTGCCTACAGTCAATGGAGGAATATGTACAGAAAAGAACTAACAGGGAAGACCTGTCTCTCCTCTTCATCAGAACCGCCCCCAGATCGTCAGACGGATAGGAGGGGTCGAAAAACTGAACGTGGCTATTTATAACCCAGGGTTGGCTGAAATGGGCCACAAGGTGATGTCAGAAACCCGAAGGTATCCTCGTATATCGGAGTACAAGTGAAGAACGGATTAACCGAAATGAAAGATGAGGAAGGTTTTCCGATACAATCAATCCCATTCCTAAAGGTTTGCTCCATCTCCCAATAGACGGGTACGCAGCACCGCAGTACCCCTAATTAAGCTCCTACTCAGATGTTCTTGCACTTCTGAAGGGCTGACAGTGGGAAGAGTAGCCCAGTCTCTGTACCTCCGTCGAAGGTTCCCCGTAGTGCCTTTGGCCCAGCTACCGAATCCTTGAACCACTTAATTCTTGCAGAAAGAGAGGAAAAAGGCCCTTCATGACCTTGCAATGATAAAATTGCAGCTCATTAGGACATTGTGTATAGACGTACGAATTTTCGAAGAACTAGGCTGAAGCTCGGCAAATTGTAGTCAATTAGGAAAACAGCACTGGAAGACGGCTACGAAATTCAATCCCTTTGCTTCAGGTCTACCTTTTGCTCACCGTCAATACCTTCCTTAAGCAAATAGCCCTTCTCTTCTACTTGGATTACGTACTCACTTTCGTCAGTCCAGTCATCAGCTGTCAGAAATGCAGTGCTGTAAATGTTTACTTTTTAAGAAGTTTTGTAAAATTAAGCTCAAAAAGCTCACAGCCAGAGTTCCACGTAAAATTGTTTGAAAAAATATTTTTAAAAACGAGTTAGCAAAGAGATGACAGCACAGACGCAATAAATTGGTGAAACAGGAGTAT